TATATACGCAAGATTATGACAATCTTCTTATAAGAATTTTAACATTTTATTTTAACTTTTTATTTAAACATTTTTTTTTGGTTGAACTATATAATGAATGAGTTCATTCGAGCATGTTTTCTTTGTTTATTGCAGTATAATCTTATTTCAAGATTATATATTCTTGCGTATATATGAGTATAAACAATGTTGATTTGACACTTCTTTTTTTCTGTGTAGATATTTAGAAAGAAATACATGAAATATAAGCGTCTAATAAGGGGTATAGCAACTCTTTACAATAGATTAAACGAATACAGAAGAGTTATTTGTTTTAGGAGTCTTTATATTTTTCAGTGAAATTGGTCACAATGATCTGTTCTGTAGAATATGCTAATACTAATTAAAATATTATTAATATATATTTTTTTATTTGCATATTTGTTATCTTAAAAATATATCATATATTTCTTAAAATCATTTTTATGTCAGAACTTAACATTAATTTTGTAGAGTAAATTTTTTATTTATATAATTTAAACGATCGATACACTAACATTAGACCCGAATAATATTATTAAAAAGAAGATAACAAAGAAGTTTTAAAGAAGACTTACGAAGCGTAAATTCTGCAGTTGTTGAAAATCCAAATGCTACAACGCTGAATACACTAACTGCATAGAATAACATGTTCTTAGTTTAATGTTCTTGCGAATAGTTTGATTGATTATGAACGTTTAGTCTTATATCATTTCTGTTCTCGAGGCCTTTTAAGCAACATAATAAAATTGAACGACGTTAATGTATATATATATATATACATTAATAGAAAAAAAGTTAACACTTTGGCTACAGTTGACACAACGCTGTATCACTTTATATACTGCTTATATACTACTTATATACTACTTGTCACAGCACGCAAATAGATGATATCAAAAGCGTGATCATATAAAACATCATTTAAAAAAAATTATTTAAAAAAATATGACATTACCAATAATAATGTGTTTATACCAGCTCGCAAATGATAATTTGCTGTTGCAGAAAAGAAAGTTGCATTTTGTTTTTATTTTGTCACCGCAGTATTTAAAAAATGATAGTATTTGGTAACTGTAGTAAACTATAGTCAACTGTACTGATCGTCCGTAATAATGCTGTTGAACATTTAATAAAATGTAGATTAAAATAATTGAAGATAATTTTCTTACTTACGGTATTTAGAAGAATACTAGAAAACAGAAGAGAAATAATCTTGCGTTGAAATTAATACTTTAAGTAATTTTTTTATTTTGCGTACAAACAATAGTTAAAATATAAAGACTAAACTATACAATTTCAGGAACATATCTGACATATCTACGTTTATAAAGCTGAATATATGTTTTCATTTTTTTGAAGAATTTGGCTTTTTACTGATATATATAATTATATATATATATATATATATATATCTTTCTCTTTTTTTTCTCTCTCTCTTTCTCTCTCCCTCCCTCCCTCCCTCTCTCTCTCTCTCTCCCCCCTCCTCTCTCTCTCTCTCTCTCTCTCTCTCCCTCCCTCTCTCTCTCTCCCTCTCTCTTTCTCCCTCTCTCTCTCCCCTCTCTCTCTCTCCCTTTCTCTCTCCCTTTCCCTCTCCCTCTCCTTCTCCCTCTCCTTCTCCCTCTCCTTTTCTTTCTCCCTCTTCCTCTTTCTCTCCCTCTCCTTCTTCCTCTTCCTCTCCCTCTCATGAAGAATTGAATTATTTTACACACATATTTTAACAAAATTTTGACATCATTTTTTTTTTGTGTAAATTATTTCTTGGGAATTTTTCTTTCCATTTATCCAAATTTTTAATGATAATTTTATTTATATAAAAATCGAATAAGTTGTTTCTCTCGTTTTAACTGCAGGTTATTGCAAGAAAACTCCAATAACTTTTTTTATCACTCGCGACAGTCACGAAAGCTACGAATTGAAGTAACTGTTCACATATAATATGTGAAATAAACAACTTATCCTACATAAAAAAACAAAATTGTTATCGAAAAATAATACACATCGTGGCAATTAAACCCATCCTCGAAAAATTAATCAAATTTTTGAAAGATCGGTAACAAAAAACTAATACAGTTTATAACACTTTCCGAGAAATTCTACCTCTGTTTTATATACAATTCTTTAAGATTCGATGAATTATTTCCCGAAAAATTCAAAAAATTTCTGATAACAATTTCCAAAAAGATCGGTAACGAAAAATTATACACTTTATATTGCTCCCTGGAAAATTCTATCCCTGTTTTATATATAATTCTTTGAGATTCTGTCAATTATTTCGTGTAAGAATTGAAAAAATTAGAAAAACCGGTTTCCAGAAGATCGGTAATGAAAAACTATACACTCTATAGCACTCTCCGGAAAATTCTATCCTTATTTTATATGGTTCTAATACAAATTCGGTCCAATAATTTTTAAGTTAAAAACGTTCAAACATACACCACACTTGTAAGAATAAAAAAAATAAAAAAAATGGGTTTCCAGAAAATAGACAACGAAAAACTATACACTCTGTAGCACTTGCCGGAAAATTCTATTTTTATTTTATATGGTTTTAATATAAAAATTCGGTCTAATAGTTTTTAAGTTAATAACGTTTTTTTTTTATTTTTTTAATTGTTATAGGTGGTGTATGTTTGAACGTTTTTAACTTAAAAACTATTGGACCGAATTTGTATTAGAAACATATAAAATAGGGGTAAAATTTTCTGGGGAGTGCTATAGAGTGTATAGTTTTTCGTTATCTATTTTTTGAAAACCGATTTTTTAAATTCTTTTATTCGTAAAAATTAAAAAAATTAAAAAAATTGGTTTTCATAAAATCGGTAACGAGAAAATACACACTCTGTAGCACTCCCCGGAAAATTTTAGCCTTATTTCACGTACTTGTAGTAAGAATTCGGTCCGATACTTTTCAAGTTATTAACGTTCAAACATACCCGTAGATATAGATATAGATGTAGAGTATATAGAGAGTATATATATATATAAATTTTATGGAAATATTTCTGAGAATGGGACTTTTGAGAATATCTTATTAGGAAAGTCAATCAGCCAAGCGTCATATATATCAGTCATTATTGATAATGATATTCGATATAAAGTTGACCCAGTATTTGTTTACAAAATTTACGACAAAATCATCTGAAAATAAAAATTGACATACATATTATAAGAATTGTTGTAGGAAGAAATAAATCAACATAAAAGAAAGCAATATGAATATATTAATTATAGTTACATAAATAATTACTTTTGTTTTGTGATCTTATATTTGCAAAAATAGGCAAAAAATGTTAAATATATTAAGATAAAATAAAATAAAATATGATTACAACTTATAAAGTAATCTTATACTTTTAACTATCCTTTTTTTTAAACTATGATTGACTTTATCCCGTTATTATTATTTGTAATATAATATCAAGGTATCTCCAAATTCTCTTAAAAGTGTAACATTTCAAAATGGTACATTCTACAATTAATTATACTGCAGATATTTCAATTTAATATTGTGTATCTCAATAATTCTAATAATAATTTTAACTCTGTATGAATATCTTATTGTACACGAATTATAGATTATCTACTAATTTGTAATTAATTATTCTAGGCAAATTTTATTGAAATTACTCTATTTATATCATATATGTTTAAATAATAAATTATGCATCTTTGTCTTACAATTCGACGTTTACTAGAAACAGTAGCAATAGAATAAAATTATATTCAAATTAATTTAATACTTACTAAATTCTTTGCCACCGAATCTCAAAGAATTGTATATGAAGTTGGAGTAGAATTTCTCGGGGATTGTTTATAATTTCCTGGGATAAAGTTTATAATTTTTTGTTACCGGTCTTTTTGGATACCGGTTACGAAATTTTTCTATTTTCTTGGGAAATAACAAGTAGTTCGTGGTCAAACAGACATACAAACGTCAGATACTTATATATATAGATATGGGTATAAAGAACTAAAAAATGTAATAGAATTAGAAAAATTGCTAATAGTAAAGGGGTTTCCGATTTCTGTTAAAAAAAAATGTACGTGATTGCTCCAATTTCAGCAAACTTTGAGATATCAAGCTGAATTTTTTTATGGATAATTTTTATGGATAGTTTTTCATTACCGATTTTTTGGAAACCAGTTTGGAAATTATTCAAATTTCAAGAAATAATGAGTATTAATTGACCGATTTTCTTGAAACCAGTGCCAAAGTTTTTTTAATTTTTAGAGGATAAGTTTAATTTTTTATTAATGAATAATTTTTTATTAATGGATCGATTTTTTTGAAACCGGTACAAAATTTTTTCTAATTTTTTGTTGATGATTTTGATGAAACTGGTATCAAAAGATTACTAATTTTTATGGGAATGGTTACTATGGAGTTAAAAATTAGAGGTTTCATGGGGTTCTGTTGGTGCTCTTAATTAATGGATGAGTTTGGGGAGAAGAGAATAGATTTTGAGCCCGTGCAAAGCACGGGCGAAAAATCTAGTATGATATAATTTACACATATACGTTATTTTTTTGTCACAGGTAAACTATTTAGAAAATAATTTTTAATAAATATTTTACTATACCAAGGAAAAACTCGAAACTTAATTTGCAGAATGATATTAATATGAAGAATCTTAAAACGTGTGTATAAATATGTTTTCGATGCTATATCTGTATTGTTAGTGAATACGTGTAAGTAATCCTTATTTGATGATTTATAAAAAATAATGATAAACTTTCCTATATATATTTTTACTAATTTTTGTTAAATGTATCCTAAAGATATAATGTTGATTATTCTTATTGGTTACCTATGGTACCTAGGAATTAAAGAAACGGGAAAAAATAATAAATTGAAATTAATATTTTAGGTTGTTTATTAATTTTGCTCACAAGGAATAGTTAGAAAACAAAAATTAAGTTATAGAATCTCAGAGAAATAGCTCACATATACATTACTTTTAAAATAAATGTGTTTTTAATTTTAAAAGGAATTTGCACTTACAATTAGTATAATAAATATGAGTTTTATGGGAATAATTCTGAGAAGGAAACTTTGGAGAAGAATTTATTGGCAATGTTTTTAACCAACCATGGGTCCCAAAAATCAGCCATTATTGGTAATGCGATTCGATATAACGGCGGCCAGTACTCGTTTACGAAACTTACGACAAGATCATCTGAAAATGAACATATAGTATTATATTACAGAAAAAAGACATTAATATAAGATTATAATATAAACGTAATGTTACATATATAATTACTCTTATTTCCTGATTTATATTTGTAAAAATAGACATAAAATTAATAAAAATATTTCATAAAAGATAATAAAATACGACTTGAGCTTAAAAATAACTAAATTAATGTAATACTTACTAAGTTCTTTACTTTGTTCTGCCAAAAGGTCAAAATATATTTTCAAGCTTCCAACCGTTGGAAGGAAAAGAAAATGTTCTACAATCCATGTATCGTTTACTACATGTCCTATGAAAGTCCACGTTCCTCTAATATCTGTCGCGGTTACGTTAAAGTGACCTGTTACAAAAGTAAATTACTGTGATGATAAAAGTATGCAATATTTTTCGACAAACTAATAATGATTTATAAAAATTTTGGCTTATTTTATGAAAATGGCTACATTAAACAATAATTATTAATTTTATGCTAAGGATAGATTTATACATATGTGCAATATACATATACATTTGTATGGTATATTTTTGTATATTTTTTAATTAACGAAACTATTATTTATAATAAATAGCTAATAATGAGATCGTAACAAAACAGATTTTGTTGATCTGTCATAAAGAGAAACGCGCATGGTTTGATACGCGTATATGATTAATCTTTGATCTTTATAAATAGAGATACATTCAACAAAATAAATAATATTTCTTTGCTTATGCAGATTATGTGAAATTTAATATCGTACCATTGCCAAGAATTCTGAATACATTCACAGCACCATCCATTTTCACAGCACCTTTTCCAAACACCTTTGGTACTTGCGTATCAAGTTCTAAACGAAAGACATCATCAAGAAAATGCGTTCTTACATCAAAAAAACGAGTCTTTGCTAAACCGATAGCAGTGATATTTGATCCAGTTACTTCTCCATGTAGCTCGTTTGCAGTTAAAAAAATTTTTCCATGTTTGATCAATACTGGATCCAAAGATGGAAAATCATATTCTGGAAGTCCTATTAAGATAAACATAAGCTATTATTATCCATATTTTAAAATAATTTGATTAAAGAAATTTTTACTCTTTTTACTTGTTCCTTTAATTTAAATAAAATTTAAATATTTGATAAATCTAACAATAAGTAAATTAGTTTATTCTTAATGTTTACTATTTCTTAACATTACAGTAATATAATTGTTTAATAATGCATATAATTTATTTACAAAATAAATAAATTATAATAATAAAAATTTACAAATTTTTAGAATGTACCTTGAATAAATCGTGGCCATGCTTCCTCTAAAGCGCGTTTTAAACAGGCAGAATAATCAGCTGAATTCCGCTTGCAAGTAGTTACAGCTGAGAATTAAAAGTAAAAGAAAATGAAATAGTAGTAAAAATATATAAAAAGGCAGTATGTGTTTTAATAATAAAACATAATTGAAAATATGATTTACAATGCTCTTGACTCATGTGCACGTAAAAACCATCATTCGCAAATATGTAGTTAGTACACAGAAAAAAAGGAATATTTTTGATTTGAAAATATCTTTAGTTGAAATGAGATTATATTGCGTTAAACGAAGAAATTTTCTTGAATGAAGTCATTATATAGTTCAACCAAGAAAAAAATGTTGAAATAAAAAGTTGAAATTCTTATAAAAAGTTGTAGATTGTTT